GAGGCAAGTCTTCCTGTTATTAGATGATTTTGTGCTCTTTGCGCCAATCATACTACAATCCTGGGTAGTGACAGTGGAGACTGATGGGAACAGTCTTTCCACCTGGTTGCAAATCCCAAAGTTTTAGGCTTAATGGAAGTAAGTGGATGTTTCCTCATCTTAACTACCGAGTCAGAAGTTAGGAGCTTCTTCCCCTTGGGGTTAACTCATACCCCACGGTACAGGGACACAGGTTCATTAGAGTGTTAGTGTAAACTAACTCCAAAGTTAGGAGTTAATGTGAAAGGATCAATCTTAAGACAAATTGTTTGCCGTGCATGTAGTATAGAAACTTTATTGGGTAGGGTTTGTGTTTTCCACAAGTAACAAATCCCCTATAATTATAAAAGCTGAGAGCATCTTCTAATTTTTTTAAATGACTATAAGTTCCAGCACAAAACTGGCACTTCTTTGCCTTTTCTTGCTAGCAGGAAATAGACATGGAGGTATTTGAAAGCAATAATGTTCTATGAGTCATTCTTGACTGTTCCAAATAAATTTAGGAAAAGACAAGGAACTTGGGATTCAAACTGATTTTTCTGTCATTTGTAAAGAGACACTGTCCTGATTAAATCCTCTTGGCCTGAGTATTGCTCCTGGGCATGTATTCCCCAGTAGTCACAGCAGTGAGACACTGAGAAGACCCTGCCACTGTGGCATTTAGAGTGATTAAAACCAGAGAACTCTCGAGCTCTTCGCCGCTTTCATACTATTTTTTGATTCTTGCCATTTTACTAAGCTCAGGTTGTGAAACTTGACAGGAATGTATCACAGGAAAAAACTTGTATTTGACTTTCTAACACATCAAAAAGTTTCAAAGCAACTTTCAATTTTAACAACATATTGAAGTAACCACTTCTGCTTTCACAACCTAAAGAACCAGAGTCTAATCCGATGCCCCTTTCAGTCTGACCTCATGGAAACTTTCTACCCATGAAAGCCCTCTTTCCCCTGCATACTGACGGGCTGACTCAGCTGCTTCAGTGGACTGAGGCCTTTTCATGCTGTCGGCTGTTTCATACAAATTAACCACTCAAATAAGATTGCTTATGGCCAAAACTGATAGACACTTACAACCACCTATGGACCCCATATCCCTTACCAACATGTTATTTTCATCAGTCCTGATTCATTTTAATTTGTAGAAATTAGGATCTTTGCTGCTAATATGAATATCAATTATAACTTTTACCTTAAAAACAAGAGTAAAGCCTAAAAGAAAGAGAATGGAATGTAAGAAATTTTCATTTCTACCCCTAATAATATTTGGAAGAGGAAATTCCTGTTTCTCCTCACCCCCTGGGGTTGTGATCGATTTCTAATTCTCTAGGGTACAGAATGTTGGACTCCCTAAAAAAACGTTGCCAGAGTCCAAAAAGAACTATGCACATAAAAGAAATGCATTTTTTCCTACCTGAAAAAAGAAATCAGAGTATATTCTATTAATTTATATTTTTAATGATTAAGCTTAAAACAAAGTTTATTTTGGATAAGACTAGAACTTTCAGCAGTTTATGCTAATTTCTGTTGTTATCATCAGATACAATAGAATTTATGAAAAGAATGAAGGTATCTGATTAGGAAGTTTGATCTTATGTATGAATCATGTCATGGCTAGCCATTGTCACATAGTGGATATCATTCTCAACATACTGATTTGCTAACTTTAAACATTAAGGATTTATTACACTAGAAGATTTACATTAGGCTTGAGAACCAAGGAGTAATAAATAAGTCATAGTTTATCATTTGCCAAGGTCAACAAATACCA